AACCCTAATATGCAGTGATTGGGTATTTGTGCATGAGATAGTTTTGTGGCTAGGGTTTTGATTTTGAAGCTTAAGAGGTAGCTCTAGGCTAAATGCACTCTTTTTCTTGAGATGTGAATAATCTAGCCAACAACAAATGAAACCATGAAACCTCTTTTAATGGAAGGGCTGGATGTCTGAAGGAACAAGGAGACACGTGTCACAAGCCAAAAAGACTTTTTTTTCTTCAGATCAAGGTTGAGAAATCCACGAATGGGAAAATGTGTCAGTTGACCCATATGGGCTGTCTACGTGCCTAGACAGCTAGATAGTAAAAGGAATTTCTGACTAGACAACTACACTAAACAAAAGGAATCTAGAAAAAATATGCTTGGTATGCATTTGCAAATTTGTGAATTAAACCTTTTGTAGTGAAGATGACTGGTGTAACAACCCGTCCCTAGTTTTACGATTTTATTTATATTAAAGGGGAAATGTTTGAAATGTCATATGAACTTGTACCCATTTTTCAATTTGTCATATAAACTAGAATTTTAAGCAATTTGTCTGACCAACTTTTCGAAATCATTAATTTGTCATCTCTTCCTAACTCCATTAAGTGTTCCATCCATAATAAGTCATGTGCCTCTCACATGACTTGTGTTTAGAGTTATTTCGGTCATTCTAAAACCTTACTTCCCTTTTATTAAATTGTATTCGACAAAAAACTTTAGGGTTTCTAAAGGAACAAGAGGGGCTACTGATATGAGTACATGTTCTTAGAGTTTTTCGTCAAAAAAGAGGAGCGACGACTATCAAGTGTTTTAAATTAAAGATGGCTCAAGAATATAGAGTTGATGGGAACCCCTTAATTTATGATAAATATAGATGCGGTTCTTTCTGTTTGGCTTTGTTTATGACTTTAGAGATTTTGATTCTATGTTTTATGACTTTCTTATTTGATGGAATGTCTTTTACTCTGAATTCGAATGTTTATTTTATTTGGTTCTTTGTTTGATTCAAAAGATTTTGAATATAATCAGGCAATGGAACAATATTTTTGATATGATAGCAATGAAATGATCATGCAATGCACTCTCTTCTGGTTGCTCAAAATAAGTAATGATCCACAATCATTTTAGCATGTCACAAAGACATAATTTCATATGGGCTCTATAAAGGAGAAACATGTTGACATTTTGTGCCATACATGGAGTTGTAGATGCACATGTGCTAAAGAAGTAAAAAAAGTGTTTGTACTAAAGAAAAGTAAACTTGTGAGAAGATATTTAAATGACCTAAATAACATTGAACACAAGTCATGTGCGAGGCACATGACCTATATTGGATGGAAAACTTAACGAAGTTAGGGAGAGATGACAAATGAATGATTTTGTAAAGTTGGTATGACAAATTGCCTAAAATTTTAGTTTATATGATAAATTGAAAAATATGAACAAGTTCACATGGCATTTCAAATATTTTCTCAATTTTAAAATAGTGAATTGACGAAAATACCCCTAAAGGCAAGAATGTTGACTTTCGTTGACCATTGTATAGCGAGACGTATGACCCATTCTATTAACGTATCCTTATAGTACTTGACGGTACGAACACATAAACGAAAGTTAAATCGAATTCGGAGCTACAATGAGATTTTACGAAACACCGAACATTGAAGGTAATTTGGTAATTTCACATGGTGCGGAAGATATTTTTCTGTCTTTCTACGTTTGGTTTTGTTTGGTGAGCCAGTGGGGCCCACACTCATTCTTCTCCCTTAACCTCGTGTCTCCCTCTCTTTTTCCCTTTTTTTTTTAAAACCCTCTCACATCACTCTCTTGTCTCTTATATTATACTCACTCTCTCTACTCTTTAACTCTCTATTCTCTATAAACTTAGCGAACCCTTATCTCACTATCTCCCTCAACTTTGTGCACACTACACAGGAGGTGCAGCAGCGTCGGACCATCATCACCATCGCCAACTCTGGCGAAACACCATTGCCAACTCTGGCGAAACACCATCCCTATTTTCCTTTTGGCTTTTAGACCCCATCAATCTCACTTTCTCTCATTTGTGCCCTCTGCACAGAAACTGAGATGGCGATCTCCAGCCAAGTCTGACACACCATCAGACCACCATCCTCTTACCCCTACAAACTAATTCAAGCCTTGGGTTACAGAGACTGTGCGCAGAAGCTCACACAGAGCTCTATTTGAACTTGATGTTTTTTCAGCAAAGTCCTTGGTGATCCCAACCAAGGTAAGCCTTAGAATTCATCAAATTCTCTTTTAGTGATGATCTAGAACTGTTTATAACCTTTGTACTTTTTTTTGGGGAAGGTTATTACAGATAGGGCGAAGGGGGAAGACTTCCCTAGATGTTTAGAGCAAGGAACCGTGATTGTTAAACCACATTCAGACCTCTTTTTCGATCATCTCCAACCTCCATTGAGCCTTTCTTTTGGTATAAATTATTCCTTACACTTCTAACTACATTTTTGGTTTTTGAACCATCGGATTTGGTTGAGAAATGAGCTCAGAATGAGCTCGAGAATATGACTCTGAGACCTGCAAAACCAAGGCCTTTGTGGGGAAGGCGAGTACACTGGTACTCAGCGCGCGCGTGAGGGCATGTGTGGGCTTCCTGTCCTCGGCTTGTGTAGCGCGTGGCTGCCAGTGCAGCCACCTTGTGACGACATGTGGAGGAACCCGAGGTCCTTCCTTAGGTTTCTCGATATGTCAAACCTGAATCCGCCATCCGTTTTCTGAAATTTGACTATTTTAAAATAATTTATTTATTAGCCGTAGTTTGTACAAAAACATGATATACATTATATATTTACGTAAATGATTTTGTTTCTAGGTGAAACACATCACAAGGAGCTTTGATGCTCGCGAGGCGGGTTCGACTCGACGACATGATTTATAAGTGGGTCTTTGATTTTAAATATTATATATTTATTTAGTTTCCATTTATATATTTGATAAAGAATTTTCTACATTATGCCTGGATTAGATTAACGTTTATAAGAATTAGCATACTGACATAATTTATGAAATCTTCATAAATTTTACGACGTGATGCTGTAATAATATTTACGGTTATGATATTATTATTTTTTTGTTGTAAATTACGAAATTTTCTTAATATGACCATATTTATAGTACTGTTCATCATGCATGCTACACTGGTGTTTGTACTTGCCTGGGCCAGGGAAAGGCTTCATGTGTATGTTCACATCGCACCGTACGCTCTCTTTGGATCCATTGTAGGTGCCAGTCATGTCCCAGATTGCTATAGGGAATTAGGACTCGTATGTGATGCGCATAACGCTAGTCTTCACGTGATTGTAGTACTAGAGCGTAAACTATTATTACACCAGTCTTGTTCATGTCAGAATATCTTTGCATGAACTCGTGTGTTAGCATATGTGGATCAACACCCAATATTTTATGTCCATTTATGCGAGATGTCGTGATTACTGGTTGTTACACGTTTTATAGGTGGAACATTGTGATTTACCGTATTTCTGAAATACTACTAATTATGATAATTGTTTTCATACTATATGTAGTATATATATTTGCAAACTATACTTGTTTGACGGAGGGGGTTATACGTTTTCGAAAAGGTTTTACAAAACTTTATTTTCAGGCCTACTCACCCTTATTTTTCGCCCCTCTAGGTTTAGTAGCAGAGCTTCTGTGTTGATGAGGACTTTTTGGTAAAATGTTGTTATAGGAATACTCTCGATGGTATAATTCTCATTCTACTTTACTGTACTTTACTTATGCTCTGATATCACGTGTGAACCCCGCTCACCAGCACACTCTTACATTTGGGCACTTTTAGGTTTAAATTTACTCACATATTCCACTCCACTACACTTTTATGGTTTCGTCACCTTTCGGGTGTCGGCCAGCATAGCTCGATTTGAAGTCCAGGTGGATATTTCGGGTCAGGATGTGTCAACTGGTGCTTTGACAAATTCAATTCCAGCAGTAATCTCAGATCAGCATTGTACCCTAACTCTAAATTTGTGAGCAAGTGTGGTAACATTTATAATTTTTTTTATAAGGGAAGCCAAACAATAAACCTAATTCTTAAAAGTGTACTTTTAAGATTTAATTTTGTGTTGAGATAAGGTTTTTAATTCATTTCAAGGAGAGACGAAAGTTAAACATGTAGAAGATGACATCATTGACATTTTTTTTTCTCTGGAGTGTAAGTTACGAAAATATCCAATGACCAACAATTCTTTACTGACAATTAAAAGCGGAGCACGACTGAGAAATCAATGACAAAATAGAATGATCCCAGCATCTTACTTGGAGAAAAAGTTCCAACAATAACAACAAGAATACATTGGTCATATCCAGTGGGAAAATCTTTGACCCAGGACAAAATGCACTCAGATTTATGATTTGTTTTCTTTTTGGGTTCGCTTTCTTCATATGTGATTTATTTTATGAAGGGCCTCCTTCATAATTTATGTTGATTCTTGTTGTAGTTTCTAACTTATTTGTTCCATGCTTAAGGAAAATTACAGGGAGTGCACTTTATGGTGGTCAATACATGTATAAAATAAAGTTGAATAATCTTATAATTGGGATGGCACTTGTTTAATTACTAAATCAAAAAGAAAAACAATTCATCACAGATAATCTTCCATTGAATTCCAAATTAAGATGAATTTTAAATCAAGAAAATTATGAACCAGAAGACCTTCGCTTTGCTTTTCTCCCCAAAAATTCAACAATTTTATTTCAACCTCTGTTAACGGAAAAAAATCTATCGAAAATTTATTTAATGGGAAGACCACGATTTGAATTTGTAAATGAAAAAAATAATCCAAGATATTATATATTACTAATCTAGTTTTGGGTTACTGTTTACCTATAGTGTGCGGACGGATTTGCCCCTCATTTTCTTTAGTGTTTTCTGATTTTGGTGGGATTGTATAGTGGAGTGGCCATTTTACCTTTGGTCATGTGTGTTGCGCGTGCGTGGCTATCGGGTTTTCTGGGGGAGACGCTGGATTCTTTTTCTTTTCTTCCACCTCTTCCTTCGCCCAAGCAACTAAAAATCAAAAACCTACTCACGGCTTCTTCCTCCCGATTTCGGAGCCCTCTTTCTTTCTCTCCTCCATTGAAGCACCCCCATAAACAAGTATCGTTTCTCCCATAATTATATATTTAATTATTTGAAAGTTAGTTCTTCTGTGTAAAATTCTTGAGTTTTTGATTACCTGCAATTTTCAATTTTCTATGATATAAGGTTCTTTCTCTTTTGCTGGAAATTGCTTTCTCTTCTACTCTCGCAGGGCCTTCAGTTCTCAACTAGATTCCAGAGTAAAAGCCCAGAAAGCTAATATGGCGAAGCTAGAGCTTTCCAGCACTCTCAGGATCTTAAAGGTAAAAGGAAACGAAGAAATTTCAATTTTTTTTATTTTTTATTTATTTTTAGTGTTAATTTCTGATTAAATTATTATTTTTGATAAACCCTTTTAGAATCTGATCTAGGTTTTGCTTAAATTCATCTTGGTGTTTTTTAATTTTGAGTTATATAATTTTCTGGTGGACCTGTAATTGTATTTACAGATTAATATAACGTAATTGGGTTATTTTTTTAATTACTGTAGTTTATGCAAAGAGCAACTTAGAAAGAGGTGAAGAAAGAAGAAGATGTCAAACCATACCTCATCACCTCAGGTACCTTTTAGACCTATTGCATGTCAAAATCAGCTTCAAATTTCTGATTTAATATAATTGAATTTTAGCAAATTTTTCGTGATTTTGTAGAATTTAGGTTTAATAACCAAGTGAATTACTTTACTTGGTTGGATCTGTTTTTATAGCTATATTTCAACCCTTCCTCCGATGGCTTTTGACAATTGGATTTCTCGAGTCTACTTTCCATGCTTTGACCATTTCATTTGGCAGAGGGTTCTGGGTTTTGGAGAATTCTTCATTAAATTGGTGGGTTTGTAGAATTGTGCCCTTATATTTCTAGGTTTGGTTTTATGTCAGTTTAGTAATTTTTTTTAGGTATTGCAAAATTCTTTGTGATTATTCTGGGTTTAGTAACGGCTTTTGAGGTTGTGGTCTTCAGTAAAAGGTAATTTTTACGAAAATTTGTACATATTGATGTATTAGAACATTTAAGGGAATTTAAAATAAAGGGTAAATCTTAGTTTACCACCCTCAAGTTTCGTGGTTTTCAACATTTAGTACGTAAAGTTTTTTTCATCGTAGAGTCATACCTAAAATGTTAATTTTGGGACAACCTTATACATCCGTTAGTTTGGTTATTAAGTTTTCCGTTAACTGATGACATGGCGCCCACATGGACAATGACTGTGCACCACGTGTCATTAAAAATATTAAAATATTATAGTCCGATCAAATCATCCCCAAAACCCAATCTTTCAATTCAATCCCCCATTCTCAAAGCCTAAAGTTCACTTCTTTCAGATCAAAAGGAAAACCCTAATTCAATTAGTTTCAAAGTTTTAATAAAATTCAAACTGAAAGACGATGTTGAACTTAAACCACCACCAACCCTCGTCTCTCTCCGATGCTTGATGTTGCGCGAGCCGTCGTTCCAGGTACAGGAGGCTACGACGGAGCAGTTGGAGGAGCGCCAGAGCGACTGGGCCTACTCTTGGCCGATTATCGTGTTGGACGTCTTGTGGAACACCAGGCTCTTTGGGATTGTTGTCAGGGTGCTGTCGATGAGTTGGAAAGAGGCGTCTTCGGTGCCTTTGAGGACTTGGATTGGCGGGTACGTGTTTCTGTGCCTAGTCCATATGGTCTGTGTGGGGGTGGAGTGCAAGCGGTGGAGGCGCGGAGGTGAAGCGGCGGTAGAAGCGAGTTCTGGGTGGGAAAATTCATCTGGGTCAGGGAGTGATGATGGTGAGGACCATGGAGTTGAGCAGAGTGCTGACTACACTGCAACCAGGTTTTTCAATTTTTTTTTTTAAATGATTAACTTTTTTTTTGTGGTGTTATTGAGAATTTGAACTGGGGATTTGAGTATTAATTTTTACTATTTGTAGTATTGTGGCTGTTGCAATATCTATTTTTGGGTGAAAAATTGTTTCGTTGAGCAACAATCTCTACACCGCCCTCCTCGGTCTAGGCCTCGACAAACAAGTCGCCGTCACCACCGCTCACTCCATCTCCATTCTCGAGACCTCGTATCCGCCGTTCGCCGGTGCTTTCTGCCGAGATCTGACCGGCTGCATTACGCAGATCCTCAATTTCCACACCAAGGGCTGTTTTGTTGTTTTGATTTGCAGAGAAGAGAAGGGAGCAGGCCCGGCCCAGGCCCTGCGGGCAGGACGACTGTCCGGGGCCCAAAAAAATTAGGGGCACCAAAATTATTAGGGTGATATATTTATATATGTTTTTATAAGAGTATAAATTTATAAAATTTGGTTTAGTGACAAAATTTAACTACAATTGGTGGTTTTGTTGTTTAAAATGAATGAAGAGGTTTTAGGTTCAAAACACCATGTGTGCTTATTTACATTCCAATTTTTATAAATTTCTTTTTATAACAGTATAAATTTATAAAATTTGGCTAAATGATCAAGAAGTTTAATTAGAAGCAATGATTATTGTTGTTTAAAATAACGAGAGGTCTTAAACGCTATGTGCATGTTTATTTTTTTCAATTTTTACAAATTTTTGTTTGGTTGTTAATTTGTTTACTAGCTAGTAGCTATGTGAGTTGCTATTTTTAAATATATGTTTCAATTCAAGTCTAATCTTTAGCAAAAAATAATGCGTAGACTAAATTTTTAGACCAAATTTGCAAATAATATTACGTGTCATCAAAAGGTTTAATTTAATGTTCATTCATTACTTATACATATCCTTAAAGACTCAAAAACATTAATATTTTTTTAGTCTTATATTGACGAGGTTAGTAAATAAGAAAAAACAACTCACGATTTATACAAAAACACTTTAAAAGTTCATTGGAAATCAAAACTCATATTATATCTACTTGAAAGCCCAAAGTTTTTTAGTTTCCTTCTCTTGATACAAAATAAATTAATTATTCCGTATTTCTAAATTATTGAGTTTGAAGTGTTTTTCTAAATATAATTTCATCGATGTTTTACGTGTGAAAACAAATATTTTTTTCATATGAAATGAGGGCACATTTTTTGACGTCGCTCCGAGCTTCAAAAATCTCTGGACCGGCCTTGGAAGGGAGGGAGGGAATTTTTAGGGAAGAGGAAGGGTGTCGAAGGGTGGATGGGGTGGAGAGGGTGGAGGGGTGTCGGGTGGGGAAGACGAAGGGGGTTCTGGGTTTTTAATTTTTTTTTTAATTAATTATTTTAATATTTTTAATGACACGTGACGTCCAATCATTGTCCACATGAGCGCCACATCATCAGTTAACGAGAGACTTAACAGCTAGACTAACGGATGTATAAGACTATTCTAAAATTAACACTTTAGGTATGAATCTGGGATGAAAAAAACTTCATGTACTAAATGTTGAAAATCACGAAACTTGAAAGTAGTAAACTGATATTTACCCTAAAATAAACTATAATATTGGTATCGGCGGGGACGATGTATGGGAATTTTTGAAGGATTATTGGAATCTGATGATAAGGAATGATGTAGAAAGTTATAGCTGCAGCAGTTGATGCAGGTTTCCTTTCTAAGAAGCCGATTTTGGATAGGGAAAGCCACCATGGGTGACTCCAGGTACGGAGTTCAAGAATCTAATTGTGTTGATGAATACACGAGACGGAGATGGCATAGAATTATCCTTGAATCTCAAGGAAGAAGACCTGGCCATATTTGAAAGCAATAAGGAGGTGCTCGAGTATGCATCTTTAAATCCAACTGTAATTTAGTTTAGTATTGTTAAACCTTTTATGATCTTTCATTGTTTTATTTCTTGCTTATGTTTTTCTTAGGTGTGTACTAAATTAGATGTTGGTTTGGTTATTTCCCAGCTTTCCGCATGACTTTGGATACCCAATAGAGAATATGAAAAACCCAACTTTAATTTTGTAAACTTTTTGTCCTAAATGAAGGTAACATGGGAATTTGTTCTAAATGACGTTCAAAGAACTTCAAACTCAACTTTGTCCTGATGTTCTGTTCTCTGGATGTCTAATATCAATTTTTTATCTGCTCACAGAGTCATCTGATTTACATCTTTTGCTAGGGTGATAATGTGCCTCCACCATTCAATTCATTTGAATATACTGGCCTCCCATCTGAGATTCAGAGGTATTGAATTATTCTTCTGTTTTTGTTTCTTTTGTGCAATACTGGTAGCCTTTAGTGTAAGTTATCCGAGTGTTTTGTTCAAAGTTATGTGATTGCTAGAGGTCCAATGTTGAGTTTCATACTCATGTTAATTCTTTAGCCATCTGCATTTTTATCGCAGGTGCGACGCTGTGCTGCCTTCTTTGTGATTGTCTGTTTTTCTTTTGTTACCCATTACTGTGAATTAGTGGTGTGTAAAAGCCCATCCTAGAGTAAAATGGAGAGCACATCCACCCTCAATTAGTGGCACTTTTCTATTGTTTATGTACTATTCGTCTCCTATCATAGCAATTAGGTGACGTCTGTGTTGTATTACATTACATGTGTTGCAACTTGCCACTATTATGCAGCTTTCATATTACTAGTAATATAATAGCAGAGGCATACCAAGATCCATTATTTGGTGTCTTTCCCATATTGTATTTACTTTACGTCCTATCAAAGCAATTAGGTCATATTCTGCTATTGTTTGCGTGTTTAATGCATACGTACATATGTCTTGAGGTTTAACATAATCTGAAAGCGTACATTTGATCTCTGTTATTTTTGTTTTTGAGGGTGTCTGATAGTTTGAAAATCCGCAGCAGAGCGCAGGCAATTTTTCTAGTGTATTCTGTAAATGGAAATTTATTGAGCACCCATGGTTTGATAAACCAATAGTGAAATTTTATGAACATTGTCATTCATCGGAAAGAAGAAAATGTGAGGAAGAGAGGATTTAAAATTCTACTAAAAATTCTACAAATTGATTCTACTAAAAAGTATACAAAACCGATTCTACTATATTTGAAACTAATTTTACAAAAATTGTCGAGGAGGGATTGGACTGTGGGATGTATGTAGTTTTATTGAAAGTACAAGCTGATTCTACTAAGGGCTCATTTGGATGTACTTTTAAAATGACTGAAAGCGCTTTTAGAGGAAATGTTTTTGGGTTCGAAAAGCACTGGAAGTGTTTTTTGCAAGAAGCACCAGTTATATGCTTTTCTAGGAAGCGCTTTAAGTGCTTTTCTAGGAAGCGCTTTAAGTGCTTTTCTAGGAAGCACTGTAAGTGTTTTTCCAGGATTTATGTGCATTTTTACTAAGGATTGGTTCCAAAAACATTTTCACCAAAAACGCTTTCAGTCATTTTAAAAGCACATCCAAACGAGCTCTAAGACTACACAAATAAATTCTACTAAAATGTATACAAAAATGACTCTACATATATTTAAAACTGATTCTGCAAAAATTGTCGCAAAGGGGTGGAAAGAATGATGACATGTATATAGTTTTGTTAAAAGTATTTGAACTAATTCTACTAAAATCATACAAACTGGTTCTGCTAAAAATTATTCAAAATCGATATATTTGAAATTGATCGTGTAAAAATAGTTGAGGGAGGATGGACTGATTCTAATAATAAAGGATACAAATTGATGCTACATGTATTTTCAAAAGTGACTATGCAAAACTGATCGAGAAGTGGTTGAGTTGATGACACACATTAATTCATTAAGTTGGGTTGGCTGGATTGTTTACAAACAAAACTATTAGGGGTATGGCTGGTATTTAAAAATTGTTTCCATGTTTTTAGGCTAAGTATTAGTTGATTTTGTGTGTCTCTCCTTAAAATGTTCTAAAACTAGTGGAGTTTCTTAAATTATATTGTATGTTTTTGTCTTTATATATAAGACTCCCTTGTTATAAACTTCTAATTTAAGTGTGATTATGCAAATCCTAGATTAGATTTCTTCCCTATTAGGACATGTATTCCTTGGAGGAGAAGGATTCTTCCTTCCCTTATTACTATAAATAACGGCACTGCGTAGAGGAATAACACATCTACACAACCCTACAAACACATCTCTCTTTATTCTATCTCTGTGCCGCCAACCCCTCTCTCTCCCTGTCAAATAAAATAAGCCACAACATGTTATTAGCACACTTCTACCCTGGAAGTATTCTGCATCAAACCAGTTCATCAATATCATCAAGCAATCATGTTCTTTCAAAACAACGGTTTTTATCTCGATATTTTTGCAAGCCCTGACAGCATGAACATTCACCATAATGCATGACCCAACTTTATGTTTTTTGAAGGGAAGTGTTATTGGCACTCCAAAAATCTCATTCTACAGTCCTCACAAGTGTATTTTCTTTCTAAATATAGAAAGTTTGAAGTGTAGAATGAGGAATTTGGAGTGTCAATACCAATTTCCTTTTTGAATTTTAGATTTTACATAAATTGTGTATGCATTATATCCATAATTGTTGAATTATTTGAATTTGATATTGCCATGAACTACATCAAATATATGTCCATGCGTTGAATTATTTGATTGAATATGCATGCAATTGAATTAAATTTATAATCTGGAATTAAGAAAACAATTAAAATTAGGATTTCTCACAAAACTCATCTTGTCACATCGCGAGCTATTGGCTTCTAAGCCGCACTGCTTTGAGCTGCCATCACCACGCCTGCAGCCTGCGCGATTGAATCGATCCGCAACCCAATTTTTTTTTTTGGGACCTGATCAGCCCATGCTTAACCCCAGCCCTATTTCTAGCCCTGGACCTCACAATTTTAATTTACTCAGCCCACCCGTAGAATTTTGGCCTATTATTTTGGGCCCCCGAGTTTAAATGCCTATTTTTTTTTAGGCCTTATAGGTTTTATAATTTTCCACCCGCAATTTAATTTGGTCCGAAGTCCAAATAATTAATTCAATTATAATTCCAAACCTGAAAATCTATTTGCATATTTTCTTGTTGCATATTTTTGTATATATATTTGTGTTTGTTTGCAGAAACATATGAACCTGAAGTTCATATTTCCTTCGAAACCTGAAGTTTCTAGAAACGTGTCTTGTTTGAAAACCAAAAGTTTTCCTCAAAAACATAACCCATGAAAACCCAATGTTTTTTTCTTGTAAATTTGAACCAATAAATGTCTATTAGAACCTGAATGTTCTACTCATATGTGAATGGATTGATTTTTCTCCATTACATTAACCATATTCTTGTCTATTTTTTTGTGATAGGGACATGTCAAATTTGAACAAATTTGATCTCACCGCTTTAGAGGTCTTTGGAAGAAACTACCTCAAGTGGGTCCAAGATGTGAAACTCTACCTCATCGTAAAGAATTTGCATCCTGCCATTGAAGATGAGACGGACAACCAGGTTGGGAAAGCTGAGAAATTCGCTGCCATGATCTTCATTCGAAGACACATTCATGATGCACTGCAAACCGAGTACCTTGCTGAGGAAGATCCACGAGCATTTTGGGTCACTCTGGCTAATCTCTTTGATCACCAAAATGACATTTTCTTGCCTGAAGCATGATATGACCTGCAACATCTAGGCTTCTAAGACTTTAAGTTTGTGAATGAATATAATTCTGAAGTTTATCGAATACGATCATTTCTCAAGTTCTATAACGAGAATTTGACTGAAGAGGATCTCCTGGAGAAGACCTATTCGACCTTCTCTGTTACTAATATTGTGCTACAGCAACAATATAAGGCTCAAAAGTTCATCAAGTTTTCCAATTTGATCTCTGTTTTACTTTTCGTTGAAAAACATAATTAGTTGTTGATGAAAAATCATCAAGCTTGACCTATTAGGGCGATTGTTGTGCCTGAAGCACATTATAACACAAACAAAAGCCCAAAACGCCAACATAAGCATGGTAGGGGTGGCCTGAAGCCACCCTGTCAAGGTCAACAGAGCTAAGGCCCATCCAGGGGACGAAACCGAGCCCAGATGTGCCCTAACCTCGTTCCTAAGGCCCTAAACTTCAAGAATAAGGGCAAAGCACCTGAAACTATAGATGCGGACATGTGTTACCACTGTGGTTCCAAGGACCATTGGTTCCGTGTTTGCTGTGCTCCCTAGAAGGTTGTAGCTAAATATCATTCTCGTCGTAAGAAGTTTGAATCAAACTTTATGCAAATGGATGAACTGGAGAGTACCAAGATGGAGGTTTCTGATTTCAAGAGGCTATTACCCCTATGGAAGATTAGAATCTTAGACATAAACTATTTTTAATTAAATTTTAGGACAATGGGGCTGAATTCCATATAGTGGCCGAACCCCCTTCTTGTTTTTGGTTTAAGTTTGAACAATTTCCCTTTATGTTTGGATAATTTGTTAGTGATTTGTTTTTGGATATTAAGTTTTTTTAATTACCATCTTTGAATACTTAAATTATTTTGAATGGATATTTGTTATTAAAACTTTTATGCATGTGACTGATTCAAAATAATTTTTATTTCTAGGTATGACTAGTGGGAAAGTTAGTTGTCTGGCAGATAGTGCAACCACGCACACCATTTTGTGTGAACGCATCTCTTTCACTAACTTCATACCTAAGAATGCACATTTGACAACCCTCTCAGGCCCATCCCACCTGATCGAAGGATATGGTAAGGCACGTATAATGTTGTCCAATGGTATAATCTTGACCATTGCTGAGACACTTTATTCTCCACGTTCCGGAAGAACGTTGTTGAGTTTCACGGACATTAGAGATAATAATTATCACACTGAAACCTATGTAGAAAATGGAGTTGAATTTATGTGCATCACTTCCTACGAATATGGCCATAAGTGCATTCTAAAGAAGATAGAGCGTATCCTAAGTTGTCTATATACTATGACCATACGCCCTATAGAAAGCCACTATATGGCTGACCCTACCTCTGGGACCGCGCACGAAATTACACTTTGGCATGATCGTTTGGGACACCTTGGACGAACAGCGATACGCTGTATCCTCAAATCATCCCACGAGTATCCACTAACCCGAAGTTTAGGTTTGATTCAAGGAATCGTAAGTCAAACATGCTCCATGGGAAAGCTTATTATTAAGCCTTCTTATGACAAGATTCATTCGAATCATCTTACTTTTCTACAATGGATTCAAGGGACATTTGTGGACAAATACACCCTCTATGTGGACCATTTAGATATGTTATGGTTTTGGTTAACGCTTCCACACTTTGGTTACACGTGTGCTCGTTGTCTATAAGGAATGCTGCATTCTCCAAATTATTGGCTCAAGTTATCATGCTCAGGGCTCACTACCCTGATTATCCAATCAAATCTATTTGATTAGATACTGCTAGAAAATTCACATCTATTTTTTTTATGACTATTGCATGCTAGTTGGGGTTGAAGTTGAACATCCAGTACCCCATGTTCACACCTAAAACGGTTTGGCAGAGGCATTCATGAAGCGCTTACAAATGATTGCTCGATCGTTAGTCATACGTACCAAGCTTTCGATTCCTGCTTAGGGCCATGCAATATTGCACACAATCATGTTAGTCCGCCTAAAGCCTGTTGTGACCTAACCAAATAGCGTCTTTCAGTTAGTTATCGATACAAACCCGACA